CGAACTCGCACCTTAGTACCATCGAATTCAAGGCTTGTCTCGAGATAAGTTCACCAAAGAAGAAGTCTCTTTGGTGTCAAAGGACCCGGCGACTCCGCCGCACCGGGGAAGGTGGAAGTGATTTTGTAAGGGCTTCTCCGCCTAGCCGTGGGGGCTAAAGGAGAGACACTAGTTTAGTGCAATACTTGGGGGGTGCCTCCAAGGAGTGGACGTAGGTCAAGGTTTGACCGAACCACTATAAATCTGGTGTGTTCTTTCTTTTTACTGTTTCCGTGTTTTAATTTCCGCACTTTGATTGTGATGATTTGGATTGTGTTTTGATTTTAAAGTTTTCCAATTCACCTCTCTCTTTAATTAGCGTGGGACTAAGTTCAAGAGGGCCTAACATTCCTAACGAACTTTCAGTTATTCACATTGCTACTTCAACATTTTTAACCTAAAATAAAAATAAAATCTGAATTTTCTCTTGCACACGCGTTACATCTTTTTTTTAATAAAATTAATACTAAAATATTTACGATAAAATAAAATAATCATAAATTTGTGTCTAATACAACTAATAAAATAAATATTAATATTTCTGATAGATCTAAATATTACTTTAGTATGAACTACTAAATAAAAATACAAAAAAAAAAAAGCATCAAAAAAATAATTGAGAATATTTTGAAAATCATTAATTATGTCCCCACAAATAAAAATTTCTAGCTCCATCTCGCTCTTGACGGCTATTTCTTCTTAATCTCTCCTATTGAGTTCTTCTTCGATATCCTCAATGAAGATACCTTCTTTATATTCAATCATATTTCACTGTAAGTCATCTCATAATTTTCCCATCTTCATAATCACCATTTCCTTCTTTTAAATCTCCGCAGCTCACCTAACAGTATATGAATGAAATCACATAAATACAGCTTTGAAACTGTCAAACAATATAAACATTAATAAAATTTGTGATGATCGACTTGTAATACTAAATTATTACACCTTGCTCCCCACCGGGATAGACCTTGACCGAACGACCTCAAATACGGGCTCAAAGTCAGTCTTCTCGGTCACATCGCTGCTTGCAAGACGACATTTCAACGCTTTGCTCATTTGCGCTTCTTCCACATCTCAGCCTCTTCGCCCTTAAAAAGAACAAAAAGAAGGCAGAGATTCTGATAGATCGCCTACTGCTATTCATCGCTATTACCACCACCCTTCTCTTCATTCCTCGATGTCCACTCCAGGCGAGTATGTCCTCTGCAATCTCTCTCTCCTCTTTGTTAACCAGTTTCTATTATCTTATTTTCTGTTTAATATCTTCGATAAATCTTACAGATATTATAGACCACTGCAGCTGCTTATTATGTCCCCACCCTTCTCACTTCCACCAGTGACGAAGGCCTATGGAGTTCTGTGTCTTATGACCACTGCAGCTGCTTATTTAAACTTATTTGACGTTCGTTTTATTCTGTTATCATATGAGCTCCTTCTGAAAAAGTTTCAGGTAACATTTGCAGTATCTATAGGGTTTGTAAGTTTCTTGTTAAAGTATGCACCTGATGTGTTTGTTTTCTGCTAATACAGATTTGGAGGCTTATTACAAATTTCTTCTTCCTCGGTCCATTTTCAGTATATTTTGGTTTGCGATTTGTGATGCTGTAAGAAAGTATTTTATTTCTGTAATATCAGCATGCCATCTCTCTCGATCTCCCATTAAATTTTAAGTTATGATCATTTTTTAGTTGATATAATTAATTATTAATTATTGTTTATGCTTTTTAAATGTAAAACTAAATTATCTTTTAGACATTATTTGTAAGTTTTATACATATTTTAAAAAATATAACAAACATTTATGTGATTATAAATTTTCAATACTAAAACTAACGATTACAAGAGAGCTCTCTTCATTTTCTTTCTTGTTAGGGTTCCCTCTCATGAGAAATGAGGGTCTATTTATAGTTTTCTAAGCGTGGCATGACCAATAAATAAGAGAAAGATCAAGGGTAAATTGGGAGTGGTTTGAATGGACGACCAATGTTGAATCTCTTGATCATGGACCATCTATTAGGCATTTGAATGTATTCATGATACCAGAATTTGGCGATCTTGGGCTCGTTAGATTCATCTCGTCGAGCTGTTTGATTCGACTATAAGCATGTCAAGTTTGGAAATCGTTTGATAATCCAAATTATGGTTTGAACCTACCAAATGCGCTTCAGGTCTTTGATTTGGGCCTATTTGAGCTCGGATTGGGTTCAATTTGGTGTCGTTGGGTTCATATTTTCTAGACATTTAGTTCAGATGTAAGTTTGCTAAAATCAGAGTTCAGATTATCCCGAATTTAATTTTTGAAATTTCCTGCATGATTTTGCCTCGAGATTCGTGCCCGATCAAGACAATTTTTTGATGATATATCAAGTCGATTGTAAAGTTCCTTGTGATTCTATTACAAATTTTTTAAAAAAATATTGATAAAGTAGTAGTAAAATGAAAATGTGATTGCTATTTGAAATACTAAGCAATAAAAGTCTGTCCCAAGCAAAACCTTCAGTCAAACTTTTATAAAAAACTTTTGTCACGCTTCTTTTTTTTTTTATCATTAATCATAATTTTCATTAAAACAAAAATGGGGTAATCATAATTTTCATTAAAACAAAAATGAGCTACAAAAGAGTATAAACTGAAACAAAAATCAACTGTGCCTCTTCAACACAAAAAACAAAGGTGGGAAGAGCAGCCTCAAAAAGAAAACAAAACAAGGAAAAACTGAAAGGGAAAAGAGCAAAGAAAAAGCCACTGAAGTGAAAATGAGAGCTCCCCCATGATATTATAGAGGGCATCAACAAAGCAAATAAAGGACCACTCCAGACAACATCGACCCCATTTTATTGTGGCACCAATATTACAATACGAACACGAAGACCTCATCATTCATCAATTGAGGGGACCAAAACCCCGCCCAAGAACTCCACAGTTGTTATATCCCTCTTCCTTGGGGCAGTGGTGACAGGCCCAAATCGTTGCAGTTCTTCCTGTAGTGGAGAATGAGACATACTAGGTCTTTACTTGTAGAGATGCAGGCTTTGGTTGGAGACATCCCTCTACTAGGAATTTAGAGCAGTGAAAACAATTGGCTTTGGTAAGGGCTCAACTGATGATGGAATGGGGCACTTCTTTTTATGTCCTCTAGAAGGTGAGGCGGGATGTTGGCCTTTCTGCTTGGGCTTCCGCCTTCTAGTGACGACATATCAAGTCCCCAAATGGTCCACATCAAGGGAGGAGGATGGTTGGGAAGGTGGAGGATTAGACTGCTGAGTAGTCATAGTAATGGCAAGATTCTGCAAATCCATAATTGAAGGTTGAGGAGTGCTTTCAATATGGATATCACATTGCAGCTTCGCCTTGCTAGGGCAAGACTCCACATTATGGCCAATAATTTCACAATGGAAACATAAATGAGAAAGACCATCATATTCAACTCTTTCAAAGAATTTGCCATTTAGGCCCTTAATCCAAAATCCCAGCCAAATTTTGTGTGTCAAATCAATGCGGACACAGACTCTAGCATAAGAACTTTGACCCCAAGAGGACAACTGCTCATCCATCCAAAGATGTTCACCAATCATAGCAGCCATATGAGCAATATTGGAAGGATCTCAATACATTAGAGGAAGTCGTGGAAATCGGACCCAAATTGGCGAGGCGAACCCCTTCATATATTCAAGAGAGAAGGTACATGACCATCTTACAATGCCAATAATACTTCCGGCCACAATCCAAGGTCCGCCCCTTAAGGATTGTCATGCTTCCTCAAATAATGTTTAGAACAAACAAATAAGAATTTATTGAAATTTAGATTTAGTCATATTTTGTTGCTTGTAAATAAAAGTATATTTAAAAATTAATGATTTTAATTTTTTGTTTTTTTTGTTGTAAAAATAAAACTATCAATTTTTAGAGAATTTTGTATGATTTCTTAAATTAGAAAATAATAATAGTGCTGAACTATATCCAATTAAATTATGAATTTAATAATTTTTATTTCCTTTTGAAAATAAGTTTTCTAACTTAAATGAAGTCAATGAGCCTTAATTGAAATCTCATTGCAAGGTTTAATCCTATTAATTTTACAGAGCAAGGTATGGAGTTCTCCCGGAGAAAGGGGCCTTTAATCAAAGAACTGCTGATTTTCTATGGATGATGATCTTTGGAGCACTCTCTCTTTTGGTAAAGCCCTTTACTTTTCTTGTGCTGAGAATGACTAAAAGTTGGATTGAAGATCAAATGAAGATCAGATTTATTTTTTATTTTAATTGAATTTGAATTGAAATCAACAGGTTTATTAAAAATTTATTTTTAAAAAATAATAAAAAATTAATTTGTTTTTTAGACATATTTGACTCAAGCCATGATCAATATAGATTCTTTTGCACCATTGATTCATTACATTGCTTGACGTTAGAAAGCACTATTATATATTAAGAAAATGATTTAATATTCACTTATTTTATGTTGATATAGTTATATTTAAAAGAATTTTGATAAAGTTCATGGAGCTCAAAGTTAATTTTAATTGCTAATTAGATCCAATAAAGGGTGTGCTTTATGTTTTATGATAGTCTTTTTTTTCTGCTTTACTTTTCATACAACAATTATAATTTCAGTTGGCTATTATTTGTTTGCGGATTTTTCACCGTTTTTCAGAAATTTTTGTGATTAAAAATTGCTTTTTACAACTAGAGTATTTAAGTTACTTTCTCCATAACAAACTTTACAACTAACTTTATTAGATATTATAAATGTCTCAAATAGACTGTGAAAGATAATTCTAATAATATTGACTTTTTTTAAAAGTACATTTTAATTTCTAGCAATCAAATGAACTCTATGTATAAAATTAAGCTTAATTTAATAAAAAAAACTAATCAAATCAATTTTTAATTCACAAATTTACCCCCATAATTAAAGCTAACAACTTAATATTTCTGAATAAACAAATTTTTTTACCTAACATATATGAGATTAAAAATTATACTATCTCCTTTTCTTTTAATATTATCTTCTCATATATATGCATCTTCTCTAATACATCACAATGAAGCCTTTTACTGGCAGGTGTTTGATTTAATTCCAACAGTTTATTTTTGGAGGACAGACTCAGTCCCACAGTATCAATATCCCACATTAGGACCATCTCTGGTCTTCCTGAACCTCTACGTCTGGTCCAGCGAGGTGCCAGATTCAAGAATCAGCATATCTGGTGTAGTCACAATAAAGGTAATCACTATTTTCATCTTATCATTTTCAAAGAAAACAGTCTTAGGCTTCGTTTGGAATGGCTTTCTCAGTGTTTCTTAAAGCAACTTTCTAGTACAAAAATTTAAATTGTTGTATTAGAAAACAGCTTTAAGAAGCATCAAGAAAGTCGTCCCAAACGAAGCCTTATTCATAGTCAATTTAAGACTTCGTTTGGGACGAGTTTATTGCTGCTTCTTAAAGCAGCTTTCTAGTAAAAAGATTTTACTTTTTGTACTAAAAAAACGGCTTTAAAAAGCATAAGAAAGCCGTCCCAAACGAAACCTAAAGCTAAGGTATTTTATTGTTTATTTGAATAGCAATCTTTACAAATCCTTTGTTGGATTGAAGGAAATTGAAAGAAATGAAACGCAATCCAAATAATTTGTGGGAAGATTTGTGTGCAATCTGTAGCCATTAAGATGAAGAGCAGTTTTCTTTATAAGCTACAGGTTACTGAATTTGAGAGATTTAACAAATTTTTGTTTTTGTTTGAAAGGGTATGTACCTGCCATGGGCAATGCTGGCAGTGGACTTGATATTTGGTGTTCCTCTAAAACCTGATATCATGGGTATTTTGGCTGGGCATCTTTACTATTTTCTTGCAGTGCTTTACCCTCTTTCTGGAAGAAAGAACATACTGAAAACTCCTCTATTTGTGTATCCTTTTAAGCCTTTTTTACTGAAAATTGGATAATTTGCTTTTATTTTTTAAAAACACATTTATTTAGTTTATTTTATGCTTATTTTTATTTTGTATTTCTAAAAGATAAATTAAGTTGTTTTTAAAACTAATGATCTTCACCACCCAACAACACATCCAGCCATTGCCAACCACCACCTTTAGTACCACCTCCAACCACCATTATCAGGGCAAATTATTTTGTGCGAACATCGAATCTCATCCGGAGCCCAATGAGAATGTGCCATGTCACCCCCTATTCGGTACGTACCGCAGCTCGGTATTGTTTGATACTGAATGACGTGGCTACACCTGATTCGACTCTGGACAACAAGTATGTCCATACATGCAGAATAATCTCTCCACTATGAGTCACTACCAATCAACCCCTCCAGCCGTCGCTATTGCCCACTGCATGCTACCTTGTTTAAAATTAAATAAAAATTCATTTTTGTCAGCATTTTTAATTTTTTTTTTTTTTTTCATATGAAAACCTTGACCTCGCATACGCTGGTAGCCACAAGTTTGTTGCTCACTGGGGGGAAGGAGCCCAAATGAACAGCCCGGTGCAGCCCAACCCACACGCAGGGGTTGCATTTCGTGGAAGAAGCTACAGGCTTAATCAATAGAGAATAATTATTGTTATTGTTATTTCTTATTCAGCTGAGTATTACTGCCCAAGTTTTTTTCTATTTAGCCGCCCATTACCTATCTCATATGTAACTTAAAAATCGTAAGAGTCAAAACTTGTAAGATGGGCTATGTCCCCTACATGACTCTGACATTCGATAGTTGGATTTGGGCCCCAAGGCTATAATTCTCCGTGGCCCATTTTGCTTGATGGTTAAATCATGTATTATTATTAAAGTTAGCAATGTGTAGATTGTTAATGAAGGCTTCGTAAGGGATAGCTTTTTCGTTGTTTTTTAAAATAGTATTTTGATAAAAAAAAATTTATACTAAAAAACAGTCCTAAAAAGCAGTACGAAAACTATTTCAAATCGAGCTGAAATAGTATAGAGTGATGTCAATCATATTTGTGTATGAGAATAGTTGCTTGATTGCTTTAAGTAGTTAAGAATTTCATTCTCCTTCAAAAGATTATAGATTTGGAGTCGTCCTATGTGTGGTAAATTAGTTTTCGAATTTTTCATTCCTTATTATTAAAGTCAGCAATGTTTAGATTGTTATTCTAGTAGTATATCGAGATGTAAAGCAATTTTGTGTATGATATTGGCAGCTTGATTACCTCAGTATTCATGTTTTCAAAATCTGTGGTTATGAATTTTTCAAAATTAATTTTAGCTGTAGTTAGATGTAGTGGTGGACTGGTGGGCAATAGTTTAAGAGTTTGTTGGCACGACTTCAATGTTTTATAAAGTTGATTGTAAAGTTGCTATGACAAAAATAATTTAGCTAATTTACTTGTAAAAAACAGCTTTTCATCGCTTAAATTTAAAAAAAGTACTTAGTTGTGGACATTTCAACGAAAAAAACATAAAAGCCTATTTTTTTTGGATTAAATTGGGATAAATTACAAAATCTCACTTATTCCTATGGCCTCACTAAGGTGAGAGATTATTACGAGCGGAGTCCGTACAGGAGAACCGTCCAGATTTTGTGAATGTGCGCACAAAAACATAGTAAAAACACAGTTACTAATTAAGAAGTGAGATTAAAAAAAATCTAGAAAGATAAAGAAAAGATGGGGTTGGGAGATAGAATATAAAAGTCAAACCTTTAGCTTGAGATACTTTCACTAATGAGAAGAAAAAGAGAAAAAATTCCAATTATTTAATGAGAGAAGAACTAAGTAAAAAATGAGAATAATCGACATATCTAACATAAAAGAAGGAAAAAGGAGAAGACATTCGCACACTAGTATATTACATTATTTGACTTCATAGTGTAAGTGTATTGTGTTGTCCGATGGAAGATTTTACTATGAAAATGAACAATACTACATCATTAAAGGGAATTAAGTCCATATCTTCGTGACGTGAAAAAGTCAAAGAGAGTAAGATGAAGAAGAGTATATGAAAAGAAGAAACTTCTTTCTTTACACGAGTTCAAACTTAACAATTGCATGATTCCCTTAAAAAAATTTTAGGTAATATATATTTAAAATTAATTGAAAGAGTTATTGTAAGGGTGTTTTCGTCTTGTAATGATGAGTTATTTTATATGATGGATCAGTGTCATATCATGATTGGTGCTAGAAAATTTTTTTTGCTCTAACTATTTTGGAAGTGGGCAATGCCATGATAGAAAGTACTATTATGAATAATTAAATATTAAATTTATTCAATGTAATCAAGATAAAATTTTAATTATTTCATATTGCAAAAACTAAATTTAAATTTCAAGAAGAGTGAAAATCTAGATTTATGGTTTAATCAAATATATCATACTTCTTCAATATTTTGATATGATTTTACTATGAAAAATTCAGGTCGTCAATCATAATTAAAACTTGTTTTATAATCAATTGGAAAACTTTAGAAAACCTAAATAGTTTAAGCAATTAATCATATTATTAAGCCAAGTTAATTAAAAGATTATATGACGTTCTAAAGATAAATATTTGTAAATCATAACTGAGTATATATATTCCTATTAAAATTTTCAAAAATTATGAATTCAACTTTCTCTAGCCTTTATTGTTTCTTTTGATATCATGAAGTGTTGTAGACCAAAAACTTGCCACATAATCAATTAAATAAATAACAAGATAAATCAAAACTATTTCAATTCACAATTGAAAAAAAGTTTGATTTTTACCACCGCATCGTTTTGGTGAGAAATTATTTTGTGCGGATGTCGGACGGCGACACAAAACGCCGTCCGGAGACCAATTAGAATGCTTCATGTCAGCGCTACCGAGCCACGATACCGAGCGGAGTGGTTATGTGGCGCATTTTGACTGGTCTTCGGATGACATTCCACATCAACATAGAATAATAATCCGCTTTGGTCAAGCACCAAAGTGTTATCTACTAAATATTTTCTTTCATTTTTTTTGTGAGGCATAACGTCACGACACTTAGGATTAACTAATGGGCACATTTTACCAATATTCTCTCTTATTTTGACTGATTTCCATAACTTTCATAATTTACTACCTAAATTCTCTTTTAGCAATTTGATTTTCATGAAACTTTGAGTTTAACCCTATGGTCTTTATCCTATATATATAATGATGAACTAAAATAAGACTCTAATCAAGAGTTTTTTTAGTGTCAGATCAAAGATGCAAAATTTGCTCCTATAAAAATTCACAACCTTCATAATTAAAATAAATTTTATTAAAGAAAAATCTCAAAGATGCAATATTCAATTTGCCTTAAAAAAAACTTTCACACCATATAAGAATGTCGACAATCCTTTTGTACGCTAAACTTCTTTCTCCTCTTTCAAAGACTGAAAATGTTTCAATAAATGGCATGATTTATGTAGCTCAATTTGATCTGTTGGTTATCTTGCCAATTAGTAAGTTTAGATTCGAGTTTTACATATGTAATGTGTTTATTAGTTTGTCTTAGGTTTCGTTTGGGGCGACTTTCTTATTGCTTCTTAAAACAATTTCTTAGTAATTTTTTGTACTAGGAAGTTGTTTTAAGAAGCAGAAAGAAAGTTGTTGTAAACTAAACCTTAATTGATCTAAACATACAAAAAAATTAAATTTGAAATTTATACATACTAAAGTTAGGTTCAAAAGTAAAAAAAAATTCAATTTTATCCATTTTTATTAAATAAAATGTTAATTTAAATTAATTTTCCAAACTAAAGGATCTACTTTGAAGAGCAATCTCGCAACTAAACTAAGTAGCAGCATGGATACCATACAGCATATGGCTATTGTGTAATTACTAATTAGCTTAACCATTATGTCCAAATATCGATCTCAATAAATAAATTAAAAAAATACAAATAACAACTCCGCCTAAAAGCTTTGGATAGATTTTAAAAGGAAATAGAAAAAAAAAAATTAAAATCGCTCAGGAGCGCTGCGGCTTGGCCGTGGCGTTGAGGAAAGATGACCGGAGCACGATCGGTGCCCAGCCTGGAATCGCGGCGACTGGAGGGCGTACAGGCCGGGGGAAGAGCTGGTGCATATCAGAGCGCGGCAACTTCGCTGGCGGCGGTGGTGGAGGGGCGGTGGAGTTAGAGACAGCGATGCGCTCGCAGGAAGGGCACATTGTGAGGGTGGTTGGAGGAGTCATGTGCATGAAGAATGGAGGGGAGAGTTTCAGAGATCTTAGCTCTTGCACCTCCTTTTGCAGCCGGCGGTTTTCCTCCGTCAGATTCTCGCAGCAAAGCTTGAGGAACTCACAGTCCACCTCTGTCTGCTTCAGCTTCGTCCTGAAATCGATCAAACCCCACAAAATGAAGCTTTTTCTTTCCAAATCTTTTAGTAATTTATCAGTTAGAAATCAGAAAATTATAATATATTTTTAAAAAATGCCCAATGCTTAGCAGCTTAGGGTTGTTTTGTGCCATAAGAAAAAAAATGAGGGCTTTATTTTTTCTTTTAAATTAACTTTTTAGTCGATTTTAAAATATAGTATTATAGAAGCATATATTTTATTTATATTCTTGCACGTTTTTACATATTAAATAAAAATAGAAAAAAAAAAGCGTCTTGGGTCAGAAATTTGGGAAGAACAATAATGGTTACCTTGCTCTACGATTCTGGAACCAGACCTCCACTTGCCGTGGTCGCAGATTGAGCTTGTTCGCCAACGCCAGCTTTTGCTTCTGCAGCAATTCAACAACTTTGGGTTAACTCCGGAACAAATCAAACTAAAATGAATTGAAACTTCCAAATCTACGGAAAGAAAACTAACAGGATTGAGCGTGTTGTTCTCCTTGAAGCTTTCTTCAAGAATGGCAGCTTGGTCCTTCGAGAGCCGCAGCTTCTTCCGCGATCCGTCTCCATCCTCCTCATCGCTCACACCACGCGAGCACGCCCGATCCCCATCAATCTCTTCACCGCCACCCGCATAGTATCGGCGCTTTCCTCCGTAGTTCTCTGTGGAAACGGTGCTGTTCGGCGATGACGCACCCGCATCTTCCTCGATCTCGATCTCAGCCATCGGAGCGCGGTTGACATCAATCCCCTGCGAAGCCAGAACCGTCCTCTGTTCTGCAACATTAAATCCCCATCAGATAAGCAAATTTTAGTTTCAGATCGAGGGAAGCAGAGCCAGATCACATGGTATACCTGATTGGGTTAGACAAAGGGCAGTCGGTGGTGGAGAGGAAGACGGCATTAGATTCAACTGGAGTGAGCATCCGGCCTCCGATGAGCTCAGGCCAAGACTAAGCCCGAGATCTTGATCCTTATCTATCAGCATCCGATCTCTCACCCTCTGCCGGCTAAGGTTCAAAGCAAAAGGGGAAAAAAAAACTACAGATGGTTAAAGAAAGCAAGAAGAAGAAGAAGAAGAAGGTAAGTCAGAAAGGGTTAGATTTGAGGAGGAAGATGAGAGACGGCTTGGTTTATAATAGGAAGCTTTGCTGGGTTGAATAGGCGGTATTTGTTCCCTGCAACAGCTCAAACGGAATAGTAAATTTAATCATGGTTAACCTTCCAGTTGAAGCTGTAGCTTTCGTAGTTTGACCGTTGACTTTATTCTCCAACCAATTATTTTTTCTAAAAAAACCTGTAAGAATATCCTCATAATAAATATTAATAAAAAAATTTAAATTAATATTACATATAATATTAAAAGATTATTATATTAATTTTAACATATATTTAATATATAAAGTCTATTCTAATATACATATTTTTTATTTTTGTATTAAAAGCAAAAAAAGAAGAGAATTATTTATTGATAAAAGAAGCTGATAAGCTTATGTTGAAAGGTGATTAGGTGAAGTGTAATGCTGCCATTAGTGGCTTACAGATGTGCTGACTTATGATTCTCCTATCTTAAAATTAGAGTGAAGGAGCATCTTCAAAAATAAAAAATTAAATAATTTTATATGAAAACATTTAATAAATAATTTCTCTTATGTCATTTAAAACATCTACTTACAGGCTTAGTTGGATCTTAGTTTCAAATATAGTATAATCTTTAGCCATAAGGCACTTGACATTCATATATGACTGATTTATTATAAAAAAATTATCTTGATCGGGCACGAATCTCACGCCAAAATCAAGTTGGAAAAATTTGAAATTAAAATTAGGACCATATGAACTATGATTTTAACAAACTTACAGTCGATCTGAATGTATTGAAAATACGAACCCAACGACACCAAATTCGACCCAATCCGAGCCCAAATGGGTCCAAATCAAAGACCCGAAGCGCTGTTGAAAGGTTCAAACCACAATTTGGATTACCAAATGGTTTACAAACCTGACATGCTTATAGTTAGGGCTGCAAATGAACCGAGCCGAGCCGAGTATGTGAGTGTTCATGTTTGTGTTCATTTAATATAAGCTTGTTCAAGTTTGGTTCATGTTTGTTCGAGCTTTAGCATTTGTGTTCATGTTTGGTTCATTTAAATTAAGGAGTGTTCATGTTCGGTTCATGTTCAGTTCATGTTCGTTCGTTTAGTGTTTATCGAGCTTGTTCGCGAATATATTTAACGAATTTTTTTAACTATCAAACAAACAAGTTCATGAACATATCTATGAACAAACACATTTATAATAAAAGCAATTGTCTATGTAACAAAGGTAATGATTATTTATATTTATTAATTCTATAGTCAAATATTAATTATTTTTATCGAGCTTAGTCACAAGTTCAAAATCGAACATGAATCGAGCTTTTATCGAGCTTAATGTCAAGCTTGTTCACGAACTTCAAATGATGTTGTTCGCGAACATAAATGAGCCGAACACATTAGTGTTCAAGTTTGTTTATTTAAGAATCGAGTATTTTAAATATTGTTCAAGTTTGTTTGTTTAGTTAATTAAACGATCACAAACGAGCTTTAATCGAACCGAACAACGAGTAGCTCGTCGAACGTTTGGTTCGCTTGCAGCCCTACTTATAGTCGAATCAAGCGGCTCGAAGAGACAAATCCAACGAGCCCAAGATCACTAAATTTTAATATCACTAAGATATTCAAATGCCCAATAGACGGTCCACGATCAAGGGAAAGCACAACCGATGAAATAGCCCTTAAGACGAGTTCTAATGAATTGGCATAAAGTAAAAATTAGTTTGAAACTAACCTAAAAAAAAAAAAAACTGGGTTACTATATCTTCATGACAATTTAAAAAAAAAAGATGGTTTTAAATTATTAAATTTATTTTAAGATAATATAATAAATGAATGTTCAATTAAAATTTATTTTACAAAATTTATTTTACATGTATCTCAAAATAAATTCAATGATTTTAAATTTTATTTTAACTATTTTAAAAAATTAGCAAATTCAAAATATAAAATTTGAAAGGAGAAATTGTAGATAACATAAGTAATTGTAAGATTTTGATAGACATATATTTTTTCTTTTTGTATTGAAACTATAATATTTTTTTTTTTTAAATTGTCAATGCTGATTCCAAACTCTTCTGAGAAATACTATGGGTATTTTTGAAATCATCAATTAGTTTCCTCCTAAGAAAAAATTTTAGCTCTGTCATTGCCTAAAAGATAAAGAGATGGAATTGGAATGATAATTACTCTTCTGTCATATGTATTTTGCTTCAAAATTGATGAGGTACTAAGCTTAGGACTCTATTTAAATAACTATTGCCAGAAAAATCTGAAATAATTCTAAAACTATATCTTAGGATTTGCATATCACAGCTCAACATGATAGGACCTATCCTGATCGGATTGGGTTGTGACAACTGCCGCGATATACTAGCTTGCAACACAACTAAAATAAAAGTCCAATATAATATATATATTTTTTTCTTTTTCATTACAAGCTTAGACATTAATCATCCCTGCTACAAATGAATACAGTCTTCATTATCATTAATGTAAGCTAAAAAAACTAATTCAATCAATGCGAAGAAGATTACCTCGCCACAACACTCATCCAATCAAGTTCTCTACCTAATACACGCAATACATTACATCTTTAGATTCGATTTTGACTAACCAACTTTCAATTCACCTTCCAAATGATTCAACCGGCCGGTCCGACCATTTTAATTTTCACTCAAATTCACATGATTAATGCGAGAAATACCGAGCAATACCAAACAATAACGAGGAATACCATCATGTGAAGATCCAATACCGAGTTATACCGAGCAATATTACCGAATTATACAAAAGTTGTACCGAGTTTTTCCTAGAAAAAACTCGGTACAACTCGGTATTGCTCGGTATAACTCGGTATTGATCTTCACAGAGCGGTATTCCTCGTTATTATCAAATAATACCTAGTAATACTGAGCAAATACCGAGTTTTTTGGCAGGATTTTGCCTCTGACCAGACGTTCATTTACGTCCTTACACCGGACCTAAAAAAAGTTCCTAATTATCACCCCCTCCTCATGCCACAACACTCAACTATCATTCCCAAAACATTAATGATACCACTAATCCATGCACATGATTATTCTACATAGTTTGTGCAATAATTGGCAGCACATTTCATCGTCAAAGGATCGCTTAGATACATCTTGTCCCATTAAAATGATCTTATGCAACTTATCTCACACAAATGCCATAAATTTGTTCGTAACCATTTGATGTGCTAAATTATTCGTGCCATCCTTTTGATATAAAGGGAGCACAAATCACAAAATTATTCAAAACTTTGCTAAATGTATAGTATGATATTGCCGTACAACATTCTGTGCATGAGATTTTGTCAACTTTTTTAGATGTCTCCCCTCACCTATTCAACTACACATCTCCAGGCCCACATCATTCATTTTGTCCCCGATAACTCTAGCTCTCTATCTTCCATTCTCCGTCAAATCATCATCATCAACATCATCATCATCATCATTTATCATTCTTTCCAACATCTGCAATTTGATGGATGGTAAATGATGGATCTTGCTAAATAAGTTCACCATCCCATTACCCAATACACCTCTGCTAACACTAACAAATAAGGTAGCCCGATCACCGTCGGACCACCGCTCGGTAATCAACAGCCGCCACTGTTGGGAAATTTTTATAAGTGGACTCATATACTTATACATATAAATAAAGTTTTGTACATTATAAGCTATCTAAAATTAAGCCAATTAAAATTCGTGATCTATTTAAGTATTAAATTATTATTTGGCTTATTTGACATCTTAATTAATTTTGTATGGAATTAATTTGTGTAGAGGCATAGTATTTATTTTTATTTTAATGATGGGCTGAAATAAAATAAATACACTTAAAGTATAAAAAGGTCGTGGTTCCCAGTTTAAGCAGTTAAGTTCTCATTTCCCTCATTTCTCATCTTGAGTGAAAAGAAGGGGTCTCTCGCTCTATTGGAGAACGCCCCTCTAAACGTGGAAGATCGAAAGACTTTGATTCTGCATTTCAATGGATTCAGGTACGCTTCTGAAAATTCTTCTCGATGATTTGGCATGTCTTTTGGAGACGATTGAATTGATTGTTGTGTCTCCGTTAAATCCTAACAGCCACATCATCTCTCGGTCACCGACCACCGTCGAATCTTCCATGTACGCCAACCACACCATAGAGAGAATAGTGACGTGAACAAGGAGCCGAGAAATTCATTATTCATCTTCCTAAGCTATTTCTTCTGCCTCTTGTTCTTTCTCTTTTTAGGATTGATGATGTAGATAACTTTTTTTTTTCATCTTAATATTTAGAAAAAATAAAATTTATGCAAATAAAAAAATAAATAATAACTGAAATAAATAACAAATTAATATTTAAAAATACATAAATAAATTAATATATAATCACTCAATTGATAATCATATATGGGTCACAAAAGTACAGCTTTCATCTTAATAAATTTTTTTGTGCGGAGTCCAGACGCGGATCACCATTCAAAAATCAACCAAAATATGTCCAGTCATCGGTATCGAGTAGTACCGAGTCGAGGTACCGAACGAAAGGATGACGTGATAAATTTTAATTGATCTCCAAACGACATTCAGCATCCAAACAGAATAATTTTTTTTTCATTCTTTTCATCATTCATTGTGATAGTGGCATGGTGGATGTTAGGATCTCTAAAAATCAGATAAATTATTCACTGTCAGAAATGCCCCTGATAATTACGAGCCATCAAAATGGCTTAGCAGTAAGCCGAGGCGAGCCGAGCTCGATGCACTTTGTACGGTGGAAATCACGTGGGAAGCAGTAAAGGCGTGATCACATGGAGCGGAAATAGGAACGCCTTCCACGGCATGTGCGAGCAAAAGGGTGGGAAGATACGGGGGTTGACACGTGGGACCGAGTTGGACTCAGTCGTGGGTGTCATGTTGTTCCCTACAGACCCGACATCCACCACTCAGAATCATTGGATTTTTTATTTTATTTTTCGGAATTAAATTTGATTTGCGGGATGGAGCCCACCTAACTATAATTAAA